GGGGGGGGGGGGGGGGGGTCATGATCATCTCTCGATGGATGGGTTATATACAGTGGCATCTGCACTCCAGGCAATGTCCACAGCGAGCACCCACACACGCTTCACGGTGTGGGACAAAGCGCGATGAATACGCGTTCATGTGGACAGCAAGAGCAAGGACTTCGCGGGCTCTCGCCAACATCGTCGCTAAGAACCAACACACGCTCGCACCCACCCCGCAGTTTGTGTTTTAGCGTGGGGAGCATGCCATGAGAAAATAACGTGGGTCATCCGTCGTGTAGCTTCCACGTGTGCACGGCGGCGATTGAAATTGGCCCCGCACTGAATGGGGTGTTGGCGTCCCGATGTTGTGTAAATCTGCTTGGGCGACACCTTCTGCTCGGGTAGTTGCCAAGGCGATCGCCGCACGATAGTTTTATCACGCCGTGTGCTGCAACTTGAAGGTGCTTTCGCGCAGTGCAGGTTTTCAGCCTTTCTAAAAACAGTAGTCATGGTAGCGGCAGTGGCACTCATTGGTCCCGAGAAAATCGATCGACTCAGTGATTGTTCTGCTGGTGAGACGAGCTCTTTATCAATCAACAGAATAGGCAACAATACAACCCCCCAGGTTCCGCTAATTGTGCCTCATTGAAGTGGACAACACAGCAAGGGCAAACACCCCCTTTTTAATGTTACCGCAATCAATCCATTGGAACGAGCTCCATCCACTGGCACAAGGAATCCACACAAAGGGCTGAAACAAGCTCGATGACCTGCACGATGTTGTCAGCGATGTGGCCCCAGACCATTGACAATGACGAAGCAAAGAGACGGAGCTGCTAACAACGACGCAACCTCTATCACCACACCCACTCTAGCCGTACTTCGCGCACGTGACCATTAAGGCGTGGTAGGTGATGGCGTCGGGGACAACTCCCGACCCGCGCATTTCCTCTAGTAGAGCTATGCCTTCCTTCCACCGTCCCCCCCGTACACACGCGTCGATGGCCGAACTGTAACTAATGATGTTGGGAGTCAGACCTGCCGCCCGCATCTCGCCCAGTAGCGCCACAGCCATCTTCCACCGACCTCCTTTGGAACACGCGTCGATGGCCGAGTTGTAGCAAATGAGATCGGGGGCAAGCCCTGCCGCGCTCATCTCCTTCAGTACCGCCAGGGCCTCCTTCCATTGATCGCCCTTAGCGCACGCAGCGATGGCGGAGCTGTAGCTGAAAACATCGGGGGAAAGCCCTACCGTCGGCATCTCTCTCAATAGGTCTACGGCCTCTTCCCACTGATCCCCTCGCCCACACGCATCAATGGCGGAGTTGTAGCAGACCTCATTCGGAGCAAGTCCTACCGTTGTCATCTCTCTAAGTAATTCTTTGGCCTCATTCCACAGATTCCGTTTTCCACACGCATCGATGGCAGAGCTGTAGCTGAACACGGTGGTGTGTAGCCCCACAGTCGGCATCTCTCTCAGCAGAGCCAAAGCCTCCCTCCACTGCTCCCCCTTTGCACACGCGGCAATAGCTGAGTTGTAGCCAATGACTCTTTGCGTAACACTCGCCGTTGGCATCTCCCTCAGCAAACCCTTGGCCTCTTTCCACTGTCCTCCCTTTGCACATGCATCGATGGCAGAATTATAGCTTATGGCGTTGGGGGATAGTCCGACCGTCGGCATCTCTCTCAGAATATCGATAGCTTCCTTCCATCGATCCCCTTTTGAACAAGCATCAATGACTGAGCTGTAGCTCACGACGTCGGGGGGTAGCCCTACCGTTGGCATCTCTCTCAGGAGATCAATGGCCTCTTTCCATCGACCGCCCTTTGCGCAAGCATCGATGGCTGCATTGTAGGTGATGATATTGGGAGTAAACCTCATTGCTTGCATCTCTCTCAGCAGATCCAAGGCAATCTTCCATTGACCCTCCTTAGCGCAAGCGGTGATGACTGAGCTGTAGCTGATAACATTGGGGGTAAGTCCTACCGTCGGAATCTTCCTCAGCAAGCTCACAGCCTCCTTCCAACGACCCCCGTTGGCGCATGCAGCGATGGCGGAACTGTACGTGATGACATCAGGGGCTACTCCCGAAATGCGCATATCCTCGAGTAACTCCAAAGCTTCCTCCCACCGCCCCCCCCTTCCACATGCCGAGATCGCTGAGCTGTAGCTGATGACATCGGGGGCCAGCCCTACTGTTGCCATTTCCTTCACCAAACTCACAGCAATCTCCCACTGACCCGCCTTGGCACACGAGTTAATTGCTGAGTTGTAGATGATCACGTTGGGAGTAACATCCCGTGCGAGCATCTCTCGTAGGAGATCTAACGCAATCTTCCACCGACCGCCCCTTGCACAGGCGTTGATGGCTGCGCCGTAGCTGCGGGCGTCGGGGGCTATGCCTTTCGTCGGCATCTCCATCAGAAAGAACACAGCCATCTTCCACTGGCCTCCCTTCGCACACGCATCAATCACTGCGCTGTACGCGCTCAAATCAGGGGCAGCCCCTTCAGTCGGCATCTCTCTCAGGAGCCTCACAGCCTGTTCCCACTGTCCCCCCCTCCCACACGCAGTGATGGCCATACAGTACGATTTCTGATCGATGAGCCAGCCAGGCAACTTTTTCATCCCATCTACAGCTCTGAGCGCTTTCCTCCAGTCCCCGCTCCTCGAATCGTAAAGCATTTTTTTCATCTCCGTGAGAGATTTGGTACCCGCCTCCACCGCACCCTGCCTCCTCCTTGAAGGTCGACTTGGCCCAGATCTCGAATTGGACAGGGGTGGTCGTTTGCTGTTTCCGCCGTCAGCCCTAGCGATGTTATTTGCGGCGTCCGAACCGGGAGGTAAAGCACGGAGCTCGAACGGCATTCCTGTTTTCAGCCATCTTCGGACGGCGCGCCCATTTGCCCGCGTACGTCGATATACACGGGAGGCCCGGTGGGCCCTTCTCGAGGTGACACAGGTGTCACGCGGGGGCATCACATCATGCGAACTCTGCCGATTCGACACATGAAAATCTGATACGGGGGCACACAGCAGCGCACGTGAACGGAAGATGCATGTCAATGGTGCCATGTCGGGTCAAACGTGCAATACACAACCGGAGATAATGCAATCGACACGAGGTTTTTCAAAGGACAAACAACCTCTTGCACCCGGCGCTACAGCAGCAAACAAAGCTTGGGCGGAGTCAGAAACTTGCGTGTGGGTAAAACGAAAACACTTAGCGCTGTGAACGACATTTACCTCCCGGAGAAAATGCGACCTGCAACACGAGGAAAACACATGTCAATCTTGCATCTTGCAGACACAGCAGTGACATGTTTGTAATCAAGATCCTGAACAACTGAACACTACTACGATGGGCACCCGGGCCCAGCCTTAGCAGTGACGTACGTATATTAACAGTGTCCTACTTTGTTTACTTGCTATTCGACCGCATATGCCTTTCGTAACAGAGTGGAGGGAGAGGGATCTTCAGATGAAACATTGTGCTTGTTAGCACTGCTGTCGTGCGTACATACACATGTCATGCTTGACGAATGGTTGTTGGTCACCAACAGCACTTCAAGACCGAGGTCGCGGCACAAAGCAGACGTAGGAGGCAGCGGGTGCTAGTACGGCGGGCTTTCTCGCCCAATATAAAGGCGGCATGTGCCTTTGGTTTGCCGGACCGAGCCAGAAAAAATTCGGCGCCATTTCGCCGCCATGCGATTCGTCCCGGGCTTTCGCTTGAGCCAAGGAAATCTCCTCGCCGCACGAAGAGTGAAGCTCTTACGGCTGCGGCGAGATACATGTACATGTACATATGCACTTGAAGGTATTTGATGGAGCACCTGCCCATACCCCAGATGGGGAAGATAGCCTTTGTAGCCAACTCGGGTTGATATTTATTGACTCTGAAAACAACCGAAAGAGCGCCCAGCGCTCACAATCGTACAGACCAGCGGTTGGGACTCGTCTTGTCTTTGCCAGCGTATCACAGCCTACCTCCACACAAATTGTCTCAAATCAAGACAACACAGGCGTCAC